CTCTGCTGAGGGGAGCCTTGAGCAATTCGAATCAGGACTCAGCGCCATCAAGAAGAATAATGTTTAGGGGCTAATTGAAGAAACTCTGATGCTGAAAATATGAGCCATTCGAATCAAGTTCAAAGCTATCGAAGAGAGCAGAGCAACACTTCGACCAGTCAATAAGATAATGTTTCAATGGGTCAAGTTCAAAGTCTTCGAAGAGAGCAAATTCATCTGCAGGGGCGTGTCAACTTTTGATTTCCATCATATTGGAGGCCCAAGACAACTCATGAAAGCTATCACATGGCAAAGAGAAACGTACAAGCCAAGAGTAGAAAGAAATCTTCAAAAATGGAAAGTTCGGAAATCAAATATTTTTTTGAAAGCATTGATACCCCTCCATATTTGTTAACCTAATGTGGTTTAATATATATACATAAACATTATAGCCTAAAAGGACAGGCTTAGCTGCTACAAAAAAATCCTAGAAAATTCCAAAATTTCTCAAAGAAAAGTGAAACTTACATCATTAGATCCAGACGTTCTTAGACCTTTTGGAGCATTCAGTCATACTCCTGAGACTTCTAGGAGTCGTGTCCATACTTCATTCAGGATTGAAACAAGCCAGAACGTCGTACCTCCCTCTCACCGATCAGTAAAATTTTCTCAATCATACCCTTAAAATTTACGCGTTGTTAATTAATTTTGTTTGCATAAATCATGTAGCGTGATGATTTAGAAGATATTTAATGTTTTGCTTTTGATATTTGACGCATGGAGAGCAAAGTACCATTGTTAGGATTCCAAAACGGTTGAGTGTCAAACTAGGTGATACCATGAGTTTTAGGACAAACAAATGGTGTCATTGAACTCGTAGCCCCCTAATTAGGGGGACCATGACCCTTTTCTCTTTGATTCATCGTGTTTTTGCAGATGTTGATTTTTGATGGCCGGAGAAGAAGGTGGTCAACCACCATGGACGGTGGTTTGACCCCCCTATGCTGACGTGTCTGAACAGTCCTTTATGATTCACCCATTTAAAAAAGATAGGGCCCACTCAACGCGCGCGTTTTGTTTGAGTATATATATATATATATATATATATATATATATATATATATATATATATATATATATATATATATATATATATATATATATATATATATATATATATATATATATATATATATATATATATATATATATATATATATATATATATATATATATATATATATATATATATATATATATATATATATATATATGACTTCGGTTTTTATATAATATTATACTTTGGTTATTATAAATGAATGAACAGGATGGCTGAATGGAAAGGCAAATGATTGTGCAACGAGGAGACCTAGGTTCGATTCCAGGTGTCTGTGTTTTGCATTTTCTCATAAATTCATTTCAGATCTAGTGCACGCGAAGGCCAACAGGTGCATGGTATGCCTCACATATAGGTTATTCATATCTAAGAGTCTAAATCCAACCCTCCCAGTGGCTAGGGACCATGGTGAATCCTCAAGACTCATCCCCACCAGATTATTCTTTGGAATGCTGGATCCAGTTGAGTGGGCCTAGCAAAAATTCAGCACCACACCCCCAGTCTGCTAACACTAACAGGCCCATTTTTCTATTCTTTTTGCTTTTTTAATTTCTTTGTTTTTATTTTAATTGTTTTAACGTCAATTTTTATTTTAATCATAAAATCAATACAAAAATCACAAAAAAAAAATAGACTTAGGTTTTTTTTAATTAATTTAATTTTTGGTAATTAATTTAATTATTTTACTTGTTTCCTCAATTAAAATCAATTAGAATTAGGTTCAATCACTTCAAATCTTCTTCACAATAAAAATACAAAAAATATTTTTTAAATAAATTAGATTTTTTTTTACTTATTCTCGTTTTAATCTTCGTGCGTTTATTATTTTTCGTTTTTATTGTTTTTCAATTATGTAATTATTTCCCGGTTTGTAATAGTTTTAATTAGGTTTAAAATTCCGAATTCTTATTTTTTCTTGTCTTAGTTATGTAATTGCCCCAAAGCCTTGTAATAACTTAGGGATTTTTATTTCCTGCAATTTATTTTCCCCAACTATTAACTGCTTAGATTAATAGGATTGTATGAAAAGATAACGACTAATTGAACATATCATAACCTAATTCAAAGATAATATATCTGAATCAAGCACAGTTGCATATACTCACCCCTAGGGTATCACCCACTTCGGTTTCCTTCGAAAACAGTCACAATTCTCGAAACATGATAATTTTTAGTGACTGTCCTTGAGTTCAAGAGATCACAAGTCCCTCGATGACCCTTTCGACTGCTGCCTAGGTTAAAAAAGTGATCTTAGAACTTTAGGACAATTACTAAGAGTTCTTGCAAAGTTACCTTAGTGACCGTAAACGTCCCTTCCATAGTCCCTCAACATCCAACGATAAGGCTACCTACTCACTAATAGTAGGATAACACTATCTAAAGGAAATGAGGAAAAGAACACATTTTTCGAGTAGGTTGATAGTTGTTAAGTACTTTCTCAAAACAATCTTTTTCACACCACACTTTCAAACATTTTCAAAAAACTCTTTATCAACACGCTTGAGGACTGATACAAGAGTTATCATAAAGCAAGCAAAATTTTCAAAACACACAAACATGAAAACAATTTTTAAAATGAGCAAGTACCTAAGAGACCATGGAGAACCACGGATGGAAAGGGTGCTAACACATTCATTTTCCATAATCTACCCCCTTACTCAGAAAATCTCGAAAAAGGTATTTTTCTGTTCTTTTCACCGTTTCCTTTGTTGGATAAAAGAAAACTCGGTGGTGACTCTTGCTTACCGCACATTTGCGAATACAAAACGCAAACTAGTATTAACAGTCGGTTCAGCCACCATATCACAACGGGGAAAAGAAGGAAAGATTACCAAGTTTGCTTGGGTGAGCCCCGTGACCAGATGCCTACGTATCCCTTTTAAGGAATCAGAGTACCGCAGTTCGGCTTAAAAGTTTCTGTTTGTTTTGTATTTTTTAATAAACAATATTAATTTTTCCTTCAGCCACAACTCGACCTTCGAAGATTCACGCGTCAGCACATAAGTGAATTAACATGTTCTTTTAAAAGTTTTGAAAGAAAGGGCCCGAAAGAGAAAAAGAGTTTGCATTAGTTGGTGTTTTTTTGTTGCAGATAAATGCTAGTTGATCTCAAGAGAGAGATATTAGCCAAATTTTCACTTATCCATGAAAGGAGTCTTTGAGATTTGAACCACACCAAAGCCTAAAATGGAAGAACAATAAGATCGAGAAGAAACCCGCTTATCATCTCCCATACTCAACAAAGATATGATTCTCATCAGTAACTTTTACGTGTTTTGAATATTGAAAGAAAAAGAAGTTTTTTTTTTTGTTTTAATGAGATGTAAAAGAAGAAAGAAAAGTTTAAGGGGGGACTAGAAAAATAGCCCTAAAGTTGTCATGAAAAGTGGATCCTATAGTTAAGGATAAAAGAGGGGAACATCTGCCTAATGTTGTCATGCTTAGATAAAGATCCTAAGGTCTAGTTAGTTCAAACTTAGAGAAGAGTGAACTAAAGATCCTATGGGGAGCATACAAGAGGAGAATCAGGAAAAGATAGGAGAAGGGATGGCAAAACATCACACAAATAAATGATAAGACATCAAGAAGCATGTATCAAGTAGCATGAGAAAGATGTCAAAACATCAAAATAAAGATGACAATACATCAAGCACACACAACATTTATGTGACAAAACACATGCAAGAGATGAAACTCAAACAAATGACAAGACAAAACTTGCATCGGGAAAGAAACAAGTGAATCCTACGGCAACATGCAAAGGGATCGAAGTCGTTATCTCAATTCTAATTGAGTGACATCGTGATCAGTAACAAATAAAAAATGATGAAATCCTAAGGGAACATGCAAAGATCGAAGTTGTTATCTCAATTTTAATTGAGTGACATCATCGATCAAAAAAAGAATAAAGACATGAAATACTAATGGGAAGGCAAAGATCAAAGTCATTTTCTCAACCGAGTGACATCATTGATCATCAACCAAAGGAGGCGAACACAATAACAAACTCAAGTAGCAAATAAGTGTAGAACGCATGCTACCGGTCTTTAAACAGCGACTTCGAGCACACACTCTTTATTTCCTACTTATCAAGATATCTAGAAAAGAAGTAACATGCGGAAAAGATAAACTCAAAATCAGAATAATACCAAATGAACAAAAGATCATTGTACGACAAGCAAAGCAGAGAAACTCGGAAAACTTCATGCAAGCTAGCATCAACACCAAGAGAATAGCCAGAAATTGGCAATGTGAGAATAAATCACATGTGCAATGCGTTCATCGGAAGCATCCGCATCACAGACAGTATACTTGCATAAGAGTTCACAATCCAGACAAAAACACAAGCAATGTATATTTCTCATGTAATGAGAATCAAGATAAATCACGTCGCAAGCGAATCTCAAATCCACAAAGAAAGTGGAATGCAAATGCTTTTCAATTGAAATAAACGATCGAAGTTCTCTTGAAACGCCTTTCACATGTCAACAAATGAGTTAGAAATAACAAGAAAATGATAATCGAAGTTAAGCATCTATATCACAAATTAATTTCTAAAATCAATTAAAAATCAAACAAGTTTTTATTGATTTTATAATTTTTTTATCATAAAAAAAAAAGGAAAAAATTAACAAAAAGAAAAGTCCTAAACCTAATATTTTCTAATGTTTTTATTACATCAATATTTTTTATTAACAAAATTTTTATTCAACAATTATATAAAAAAATAAAGAAAATCTAAAAAAAATCTATACAGGGGGGATTGCTAACTAGATCCAGGGGGTGTTGAAGCAGTCTGGGCGCTAGGCCCATTGCGCCGGGTCCAACAAAGAGTTTTGTAACACAAGCTAAAATGCTGTCAACAAAAAAAACCCAGCGAATGGGCTTAGTAAGGATGTGCAGCCAAAAGCCCAACAAAAACAACAGTCCACCATACCTTAATCCAATTCCACTCTCAAATTATTTTATCCAGTTTTTATTATTATTACTTAATAGAAAAATTAGAAAGAGTAATTTAGGGTTAAAATTCGGTGAGACGGTTGAACTTCTTTGTCTTCTCTCATCAACCGCGCGGCGACTTCTTCTCTCCTATTGCAACAATGATCTCCTCCTTCGATCTCTCCGTCTAAAAGCTTCACCCTGTTGCTACGATTCCGTCCGACCTCGATGTCCTCCATCAGACGCCAATTCACGGTTCTATCTCACTCTCCCCCACCGTCTGTTCATCTCAACGGCACAATTTGCTTCAGAGACTAGCATTTGATTTCGCTTATACTTACTGATGCAGTTAATTAGACGGACAACAACATGTAATAGATGTTAAAGGGAGTAAATCATTGAATATTACCTACCGGAGATAGTCCAGTGTCGATAACAGCGAGAGATGCAGAAAAACAGAAATATAAAATAGAGTTGATTAGAATGTTAGTTAAATTGCAAAAATTCTAAATTGCTGAGCTGTCTTTTGTTGAACTAATTTTGTGATAAAAATCTTCTTGTGCCTTCTTTTTTTATTTTACTTCTGAATTCGTTTTTTTCCAAACTGATGGATGTATATTATGAATGGTAATTGTTTCCGTTGGGTTTTTCCTGTTGATATGAATCCTAAATTCGAGAGATTTGAAGTCCTAGTTTATTGGAAGTTTTGACGCAGTAGCAAGTGTACGTAAGTCAACTGAGTGTTTTATTTGAAGTTCACTTTGCCTTAAATTTCTTTCAGTGCACACACATGATTATTGTTTGGACAAGTCAAATGCAAGTGCATGTTTGAGTTTCTTTATCCTTTGTTCATGATAGTTTCTTAGACGTAGCATGTTTATGTTGTACGCAAATAAGTGTATAGACCCGATACGAATTAAGTTGGTATTGGGATGATGATTCTGACCTGATATGTATTAATATTGCAGGTTTTGGAATGTTGACTGAATTGTTATAGAAATCCATCTACATGGCACATGGCTGCAGGTTTATATGTTGGAATCGTTTCCATTTATTGACATGTTTTGGACTTAAGTTGGATGCTTGAACTAGTTTCTGCAGGGCTTGATACTTTGATGGCGTAAAGATGAAAGGAAAGGTCTCAAGGTGAAAGGAATTTTAAGGAATAACGGCAAGAGTATGGTGATTTAATGGCCTAGAGTTGATTGAAGGCGTTTGAAGCAGAGTTCTTAGCATAAGCTTAGAACTTTTCAAGTAATTGTGCAATGTATTTTGTATGCTTTTTATGAACGACTTTATTTGAGAGCATTTTGATTGTAATTTGTTTCTTTGTAATGATCATGAATGAAATGGTTTGGAACCTTTGAATGAAATTTGAAATGAATACTTGAATTTTGGATGAGAAATTGAATGGATTTTGAATAAAACTTTGGATGAATGAATAATCCTTGAATAAGTCTCGCTACTTGTTTCAAATGAACAAACCTTCCATTTTTAAAATATGAATCCATTTGATGAATTGAACTAAAATAATCACTTTGACGTGTTCTGAACGAAACTCTTGAGAACTTGAAGGAACTTGAATAAGCATGATGAATTTTGAATCTCTTTGTAACCTGGATGCCTTTGCCTTGTGATTTATATCTTATCTTTTAAGAAATCCACATAATCAATCTTAACATGTTTGCATCTTAGAAACATTGATCCAATTAATTAACTTGAACACATTTAAAAGCTCAAATGAATACTTCCACATAATGAGTTCAAATCAATTTTCACTTCTTAAGGAAACCACAATTTCAAATCTTAAGTCCCTGTTAATTTGTGTTACAAGCAACAATCAATTAAAAGGATACTGATGATGTTTAGAATCCATAAATCGTGTCTTGTAACACAATGACTATGCCTTGAGGAATCATTTGAAAATGAAGGAACTTGAGACATGGGGGGAATAATGGCCTAGATAGCCTTAACATGTAAATCCAATGAACCCCAATTGATGAATTATCATATTCAAATACCACATATAAGAACCCTTGAGGAGATACCTTTGTAGTCTCAAAACACTACGGAAACTCTAGCTCGCACAACCACTGAACTCTTGAACCTCATGGTATTTTATTGAATGCGAATATATGCTATGTAAATGAATACCAAGTAACCACTAGTCACTAACGAATACCAAAACATTGCATTTGAAATCAGGTGACAAGTATCAGACTTGACATTGATATGAATTGATAACCATCAGACGTAAGGCAAACGAGTAACCACTCGACTTAAGAAGACTAGTAACCACTAGGCTTTTAAGATACACTGCGCCAGAGAAGAACTGGATCGCAACAAGGCAAATGAGTAACCACTCGACTTAAGAAGACTAGTAACCACTAGGCTCTTATGATTTGGGAAACAGAATAATAACCACTAGACTAACAATACTAGTAACCACTAGTTTTAAGAAATGATGCACCAGGGAAGAACTAGATCGCAACAAGGAAAACGAGTAACCACTCGACTTAAGAAAACTAGTATGGGGCGAAAAGAGGGATATTAAGGATAGAAACATCGTTGGGGATATTATCTATGTTTTAGCAAATTCACTGGGGAAAACAGAAACAATAATGCCTTATGTTTCAATGCATGTTTGAATTATTTTTTTTTATGGAGTAATGTTCCAAAAGAGAATGAAAATAATACACTTTGAGGATGCAATGCGATTATGCATGATTTAAATGTTTCACCGGGGAATGGCCAATCAAAAAGCCAACAACCCACAGGCCAAGACCTAATAGGATTTGAAAGACTAAATTGCCGACTTTACTGGGGAGAAGTAAACATGTTGCACACTTTGAACGAGGATGTCGCAAAGGTTTAAACATTGTCGAGAGTACCTGTGATACGGTAGGAGAACTGACTTGGGTGTTTTGCGTTTGATCGCAAATATTGTGGTTAGTAAGAGTCGCCACCGACTTTTCTTTTATCCAAAAGGAAAGGTGAAAAAGCACAAGAAAGACCTTTGAGATTATTTCTTGAGTTCGGGGATAGATTATGAAAAGGGAAGGTATTCACACCCTTTTCATCCATGGTTTTCCATGGACTCTTAGTTACTTGCTAGATGAATTTCTTTTTGTTTGAAATTTGTGCTTTGTGTGGTTTTTTGAAAGTATTTTGTAAAGAGGCCTTTGTTTAGGAAATCTTTATAATGATTCTTGTTTGTAAGAATGTATACAAAGATGTTTGATATTTTGAAAATGTTTTCAAGTTTGTAAGATGTTTGAAAGTGTAGGTGTTTGTTTTGAAAATAGCAAGGATGTTTGTTTGAAATTAAGCAAGTAATTAGGATCATTCTACCTACTCAAAAGTCTTTCTTGTTCATTTTCCTTTTCTTTTGACATTGTTATCTTACCATTGATTTGGTAAATAACCCTATCTTTGGATGTAAAAGGGACGGGCGTGGGTCATCGTATAACCATGATTAGCAATGTTTACAAGGTATCTTAGCATTCTTTTTAGGGACTAAGATCATGTGAAAGGCAACTTAGATAACGTCATCGAGGGACTATGATCTTATATTTTCTTATTTTTGCTAAGATACCTTACATGCGTAATATGGCCATTTTGTATAAGGCAACCAAGTGGAATAACCCTAGGGGTGTTGGTGTGCCAATGTATTGTTTTCATGCTTGTTTTTGTCTTTGAATTAGGGTTTTCTAAGTATTGATTTTGGTCTTTCCATACAAACCCTAATTACTAGCATATTATGTATAACAGCGATAAATTGCGGAATTTAAAGCTACTACGCTATTACAACATTTGTGGGAGGGGGTGTACAAATTAAATGGGGATTGCAAAAATGTAAATCTAGTTAGTCTATTACAACCATATTGAATTGATATCAATGTACAAGGAATGTAAAATGAACTTGTTTTGTTTAAGAAAATAAATAAATTTTGTTTAAGAAAATATTTTGATTCTTTTATGTTAAAAGAAATAGGACATGTGAATATGAAATATTTTTGGTGTTTTTGATTAATAAAAGTGATGGCAAAAATAATAAGGGGGAAAAAACGGAATCATCGCTTTGCTGAAATAAAAGAAATCTGAAGTTCTGACTCTGGCATGCTACAAAACAGAAATAACATGTTAATAAAAAATAGGGAAGGTCAGAAGTTCTGGGTCCGCTGGAAACAAAGAAGATTTCAGAAGTTATGATGCCGCTGGCAGAACTTCGTCTCCCTTTCCATGTTAGTCAGAGTATCTGCAACTTAGTCATTTCTCAACAAAACAGAAGATGCGTATATAGCAGTTATGGCAAGTTTCGTAATGTTTCAGAAACAAGAGATATCAGAACTATAAATCAGAAGCAAGCATGAATTTACTAATCCTAATTCTGAGTCCTAATTTCTTCAAGAAGTTCTGAACTGAAATTCTTTCTACCTAGGCAGGCAAATACATGTGTTGCACCCCAAAATTTACCCTCTTGATTTAGGCTTATGTTTCATCATGAGTATTATATTGCATTGCATTCATACATTGTGATAGGATCAAAGTACTTTGGTTATCAAGTCTTTCTCAAGCTTTGAAGGTTGTTTGCATTGACAAGGTGCTCAAGTAGAACCTTGTCATCTAAACCTCTGGATCTTTCAAGCTCAAAAATTATTGCATATCTCAAGTTGTTTTATCCATCCCTTTGGATCATCAGAGGATTGAAGTTTGTGTTTGATTTATAAAAGGAATCACTCCTTTGATTCACCAGTCAAATTAGGGTTTTGTCTGATCAAGGCTATTAATCAATGTACAAGCCTTAATTTGGAAGCTACAACATCTCATTGGTATTTGGAAAGTCTTTGTACAAGCAATTGGCCAAGATGTCCAGAGGATTTGAAGTTTTGAAGATGATTCATCACTCTTCTTTGAGGAATCAGCCAAAATTAGGGTTTGGTCCAAGTTGAAGTAATTGGGGTCTAGATGAGACAGTTCATGAAGCATCATTATCTTATCATCATTAGAATCAAGTTTGATCAAAGAGTCTCTCATGATGCCCAGTGGAATTAGGGTTTTGAAGCTTGATCAGCTATCTCCTAGTACATGATACAAAACTAGGGTTTTGGATTTAATCAGGATTTCTCTGACTTTTTCACCCAAACTTGTTTCCATGATTCACCACATGTTATCAAGCATTGATGATTGAAAAATTGAGGTTCAATTTGGATTGGAATTGATTCAATTGATCAAAAGGGGCAAATTGGTCATTTTGACCCAAGTCAGTAAAATCAGGAGTTGACCAAGTGGACTTTTGGTCAACCATCAATTTAAGCATCCTCT